CCAGGCCCTCAGTCACAGCTGTCACCTCCGCTGTCACCTCCCTGCTGCATTTCCTCAGTGCCCGGGGGAGTTGTGTTTATTTAAAGCCACCAGGGCTCTGCTGGGTGACTTCTGTGCCAGCTGCTCCTGCAGGAGCCCAGGGCAGGGGATGGGCTTTTCCAGCAGCTCTCAGGTCAAGGCAGCATTTTCAATATTTTCCTCATTCCCAGCCTTTCCTCCTCCCCCTCAATGCCTGCAGGCACTGAGCAGGAATGAGGAGGAAAAGGTTCTCACTCAGTGCCAGCTGTTCCACACCTTCCCTCCTCTCCAGGGAACCACAGCAATTCTGGGCTTGGATAAAAAAAAAAAATAAATAGTGAAACTACTCCAGAAGATGCTTCCCCCACCCCCCTCCTCAAACACATTTTCCCCTTCCCTTTCTCTTCCACCTCCTCTCTACTCCACAAAAATGCTGTTATTTCCTTTGACTTGAAGCATCTTTGTTGCATTCTCAGAGGAGCCCAGCAAACATCTTGAGGACAGAAAGGATGGGAATCTGACAGCTTCCCATGGCCCACTGATTCCAAAATTCCAGAGGAAAGCAACAGTGCTCAGGGAGGCAGCGTTCTGTGCAAATTCCACTTAGACATCGATTTCTGGGCAAAACCTTTGCAGAGGATCTGGCTGGGAGCAGCCTCAGCAGCTCTGGGCACATCTGGGCAGCAGCAATTAGCAGGAAATATCAATGTGGCAACATCTTCAGGCAAAATCCTCTTGGGGACAGCAGGTAGAGGCTGCTCTGGCCTGTTCTGGGTTGTTTTGGGGCTGTTCTGGGTTGTTCTGGGGCTGTTCTGGAGCATCTTCCTCAGGGATGTTGTCACTGCTGGCTTTGGCTGCTGTTCCCCTGTTGGGAAACACTGAGTTAAGCCCCAGAATTGTGTCTGGAGTCCAGAGGAAAGCTCACCCTGAACTCCAGATTTCATCTTAAATGAAGCCTTGGGGGGTTCCATGCAGAAGCAAAGGCTGGCTGAAGTTTTGGCCCCAAATCTTTGCCAGTGGCAGTGCCTGACACTCCTCAGCATCAGCCCTGAGAGGATTTTATTGCTGGAAGTGTTTGCAAGCAGAGCAAAAACCAAAAGGAGAGTGACACCTCTGCTGCTCCTGAAAGAAGGTTTCAGATCCTGCCAGAGGGTTTTGTTGGGCTGTGAACATCCCACATTTGCCAGCATCACAATTCGACGAAATCCATTGAAATATTGGCACTGCAAACAAACATTTCTCGGTTTTCCCTCTGGAAAGGAGCAGGGAGCTGAGAGCAGGCAGGGCAAACCTCTCCTGGCTGCCTTCTCCCTGTGAATTCCAGCAGCCACACTGCACATTCCTCCCCTCCAGCTGCTGGAAAGCTGCTCCCAGGCAGGTTCTGGTGGAGCAGAGCCCCTCGGGGAGGGGGATGAGCACAGGATGCTGCACTGCTGCTGCTGCACTGCTGCCATCAAAGGCCAGGCTGCAACCTTGCAGCCCTGCCCTGCCCTTGACCCTGCAGCAAATCCATCTCTGGATTAGCTCAGCCACCCTGGAAATCTGTGGGGGCTCTGCCTGGGAATTAGAGTGGCTTTGCTGCTGTTAATTCACGAAGGGAATTTCGTCCTTTTAGGGCTCTTTCTCCCTCAAACCAACACTCTGCTTTTCCTCATTGCAGGAACCTCAACGTGGCCAGAGCCAGGTGCTGTTTGTGCCTTTTCCCTGAGTTTTTGATCTTTTCCCTCTCCCTTTTCCCCAGGAAAATGCAGCTTTCTGGGCAGGGAAAAGCCTTCCCTTTTCCAGCCTGCTCTTTAAGTGCTTCTTTCTTCTCTGCTGAGGAACTGTCAGCACTAAAATCAAAATTGCTCCTCAAAGCAGGACTGAGAGACTCACAAGACACCTTAATGGCCACCAAAAATGCTTCCAAACGATGCCAGCTCTGGGGCTGGAGAAAAGAAGGTTGTTTTTAGGGTTGAAAGCTGAAACTTTCCAAAGTTGGGAATTAACAGAGTTTTCCACGTAGCTGTAGTTTGTACCACGAGGATGTGTACTTTAACTGTGTGATCATAGTTTTAATTTCTAGGTTTTGGTGCTTAATTTTCCCTATTTCATACAAAATATTTGGAAGTTTTCTTCTGTTTCATTTTCCCAAATTAAAACTCTTTTTTTTTTAAATAGAAACACCAAATCTTTTCATTTGTACAACATTCAAACATGAACTTTTAGCTTTCTGCATGATGTGCATCAAGACAAAAATTATTACTGTGACAATAGTTCTATTTAAAGAAAAAAAAAAATCTTGAGGGAGATAGAGAAGGAAATGAAAGGAAATTTTGATTACTTTATGCAGGGATTTTTACACCCTCCCTAACCACCACTGAGTAAATTCCTGATGAATGGACACCAGAGATGAGCTGTAAATGACTCCTCCAACTCCAGCAGGGAGCTGGAACCACCTGGAAAAGGCTGGGATTGCTGAGCCCATCTCCCTGCCTGTGGCCTTTCCTTTCTAAAGCCAATTTTATTCCTGCAGTCAGAGCTCAGAAAAACCAGCACAGGCCCAAGGGGCTGATCCTGCCCATCTCAAACCCTTCCATCATTTTTACACCTCAAAGACACTTCTCCATGTCCCTGCTTCTTTTTTTTTTTTTTTTTTTTTTTTTCATTCAACTCCACCCTGCATTTTCTGCACGGTTCTGCCTCCTCGAGATAGTTTTGCATTATGAAAGGGCAACAGGAGAAGAGAAAAAAACTGTTGCTGTATTTAGCATTGATTTTTCCCCTTCACTCTGAGTCACAGAAGCTAACATTTAATTAATTTCTGACACTTTGACAGCTCCTAAGAAGACATTTGTAGAGCTATCAAGTGCTGCTGATAGCACTGTCAGACAGACACTTTTTGAATTATCAGCTATTAAGGACCCATATGCAACAAATTTCCAAGGATTATTATCCAAATTGTTCTCTGAATGAGAAAAGCACACAAAAGCTCAGTGAAACATAAAGAAACCATTGTTCCCAGGTGAATTTGATATTTGCAAATGTTTTGCTATTTTGATCACTTACGTGGTTTAATAAATCGAAGTCACTTTGTCTTTTATTAAGGAAATTAAGTGGCCCTGGTTTGGGGTGTCTGAGAGCACGGCCACATTTCCCTGTGTGGTCTTTGTGGGGATGCAGCTGGGGAAATGGGGAATATTTGATCCCAGGAAGTGCTGAGCAGGGGGATGAGGCCACAGAAAGGTGGAATTGTTTAGGTGGGAAAAGCCAAAGTGAAACCAGCACCACCACAGCCCCAGGAGCCACCTCCACAGGATTTTGGGACTCCACCACCACCCTGGGCAGACTCTTCCAATGCTTGGCAACCCTTTCCATGGATTTTTTTTCCCATAATATCCAAAATAAACCTGCCCTGGCACAGCTTGAGGCCTCTGTGAAAGGCTCAGGAGCTCCCAGCCAGGTGTTGGCATTTCCAGCTCTACCTGCAGCCCTGGCTGGGTTATGGAGAGGTCAGGAATGATTTATAAACTGAAGGGATTCTCAAATTCGAGCCCAAATTGCTTCTGCTGGGTGGCAATCCCTTCTCTGAGTGGGACCCAGGTGTGCTGTGGGAATGTCCAGTCTCACTGCAAACATGGAATTTACTTTTCATCCCCTGGCACCAGAGAGAGACCCCAAAACAGCAACACCCAGAGCTGCCCTCCACACTCCACATCCTCCTCTCTCTGTTTGTTCACCTCCCTCAGACCACGGGAGATTCTTTTTTTTTTTTTTGTCTGAATTTCAAGTTCATGACACACAAACCTCTGAATTTCTTTAGGGTGTTGTGACAGCACAGAGAGACAGAAAAAGTCCAAAAGCCACTCACAGTGGGTAAAACAGACACCAAACCCTCCATAGGTTTTAGAGAACTCCACAGAAATCCCATGATTTTTTTATATTTTACCTTTGGAGAGGGGTTCATTCCCAGGGAATGGTGGAGGGTGTTGCTGTGGTGGCAAGATTTTCCAAAGAAAACCAGGAAAACCGTGTTCCCAGTGCCAGGAAGGGCTGTGGGGTGGCAGCAGTGCTGTCCCCACCGTGTCCCCCTCCTCTGTCACCTCACTGGGGCAGTGGCAGAGGCAGCACAGCCCAGCCCTGGCTGCAAAGCTGCTGCTGTCAAGTTCCATCATTGTCACTATTCAGGTCTTGGTGTTTAAAATTTATTTATTTTGCTGCTGGAGGAAAAAAAAATAATATGGAAAAGACAAAAGAAAAAAAAAATAAAATGAATATAGCCCAAAGCTCAATGAGGCACATGGAAAATAAACAAAGTGGGTCATGGCACTTCTGCCCTGAATTGTGCACACCTAACAGGGAGCAGGGAATGCCAGGGGACAAAAAAAATCCCAAAAACTGACACAGAAATCTGGGGGTGAGCTGGAAATAAAACCCAACTTCCAGAATCCCTTCCTGGATCAGTTCTGCACCCCATTTCCAGCCAAACATCTCAGCCAGGGCGGGGAGAGCAGGGTCCAGGCAGCGAGGCAGCACAATCCTGATGGTTCCTGTGGACACACATTCACAGAGCTGGGGAATTCCAGCTTGGGAATTCTCTCCAGGCCTGGATTTCTCCTGACTCTCAGCTCCATTCCCAGGCTGACAAGCTGACTGCAGCTTCAGTTAGGGAGGAGTCTCCCAGGGTGACAACACGGTGACAAACAGAGTGGAATTCATCACCAACATTAACCCCTGGTGTCTTTCCCGTGGGACACATCCTGAGGTGCTGTCCCAAGGATGTTTTTCCCAATTGTCCAATGAGCTCCTGTCCTGTCCTGGCTGCACTAACACACTTTAAATCCGGGCTGTCTGTACAATAAATTGGCCTTTTTTCCCCACAGAGCTCCGTGTGTGTCGCTGTCCTTTCTCCCTCTTTGCAGCTCAGTAACCACAGGTTCCGTTTTTATTTTCCACGCTGACCCAACGGCCTCCCCAACACCCGTGGGTGCCAGGGTGGGGCTGGCAGCTGGCACTTGGAGCCCCATGGATCCCCTCAACCTCTCGTGGTACGACGGGGACAGGAACTGGAGCAGGGCCCTGAACGCGTCGGAGGCGGCGCCGAAGCCGCACTACAATTACTACGCCGTGCTGCTCGCCCTCCTCATCTTCATCATCGTCTTTGGCAACGTGCTGGTGTGCATGGCAGTGTCCAGGGAGAGAGCCCTGCAGACCACCACCAACTACCTGATTGTCAGCCTGGCCGTGGCCGACCTGCTGGTGGCCACGCTCTGCATGCCCTGGGTGGTGTACCTGGAGGTAAGGGCTGGCTGCTGGAAATACATTTGGGTTGGGATGGAAAAGGGGGGTTTGGACAGGAGGGGCTCTGTGCTGGTTTGAAAGCAGAACCAGTGAGAGACTCCCAAGATTGTCTAATAGGAGAAAAAGAGAAAAAATAAAATAATACCTGCAATAGTATAAAAGAAAAGCACTGCCAGAGTCAGAACACAGCCTGACATCCCCCTGGTTAGGGTGGTGGCAGTCCAGGTGAAGTGGTCCTGTAGAAGGAGTGATCCTGTAGAAAGTTCTGGCTCTTGTCCTCTGGGATCCAGTGGGAAAAGGCTGCTCTGCTGTTCCAAACCTCAGTTTTTATCTGGGTAGGAAATGCTTGGCTCCTCCCCCTGGGTGGAGCATCTCCCAGTGGGATGATGGAATTTGACCAGTTAATTAGTGGGACTCAATGGGATGATGTAATTGTATCAGCCCTGCCCTGGGACTGCATGGCCATGAACAGGAGAGATCTCCTGGAGGGAGGATGGGCTGTGGGGAAGATAAAGAACACTGCAACAGCTGGGTGAACAGCTGGTGAGAGAATACAAATTTTGGGCACATCTTTATAACCCCTGGACAGTCTCACAGATGTGTGTGTATAGCAGAAAGATCTTTGAATGTAGAGTCTGAAGAAGGAATAGAAATGAGAGCAAGTTTTGATATAGAAAAAAAGAATTGCTGAGCCAGTCTGACTGGTAACTAAGAAGCCAAAGAGTAAAATGAGTTGGAAGGGGCTTTTATGACTTAAAGGATAAATCCACCTCAAACAAAAAATGTTTATATCAAGCAAAAAGATTTTCACAGGCAAACAAAAATGCCCTGTTTCAAGTAGAAATAAGGTCTCAGAATTTTCCACTGGAAGAAAAGTGAAAAACAACTTTTATCTTAAACTGTGACACACTTTTTGTGATTAAAAAATAGTAACATGAATATGGAATGTTAGTAGTTATGGTGGGTAATAGTAAAGGTATTGATTGGTTGTTATGTATTAAAATAAAAGTCTAGAATGCATTGTAACCAGAGCTAGAGTGGTTTCAGACAAACCCACAGCTGAGGGTGACCATTGTAGGCTGAGCTCTTGTCACCCACACCCCGTGAATTGCTGAATCCTCTGGATACAACAAACAGCATTTTAAATAATAAATCAATTGCTGTATCCTCTGGATACAATAAACAGCATTTTAAAGAGCCAGTCTGGAATCCCCCATCCCTCCTTTCAGCTCTAACACATATTTCTATTATTGGCTCTTTGCAAATATTAAAATGAGTGCTGCATGTGTAATGTTGGAAAACTTTGCTGTGTGAATATAGTTTGTTTTGGTTCTGCTATTAACAGAACTTAGAACTAGTAGTGTGATAAATCTATTTTTCTTGGATTATAGCACAGTGAGGTAAAAAGCTTTTGTTCATGCAACTAATTCAGGGAATGGTAAAAGATTATAAGGATATTCTTCATATTCTTGGAATTCCTATCTGGAGAGTGGTGAGGACACCAGGACCCCCAGGGAAGGAATTTATTGATCTCTGTTATCAGGGAATGCTGACAGGACAGAGCCAAAAGGAGAAATTAAAAAAAAATGTTGATTTACAGGATGGGGAGAGGGAGGCAGGTTGGGGAAACTCGAAGGAATTTTTGAATAATGCATAAGGATCTATGAATATACAACATGTTGATACATTTAATGAAGTTTTTTCTGAGTTAGGGTGTGCTCTTGGCTGAAGGCCAAGCACTCGGCCTTGTTAACCCTTTGCTTTATTGTCTTTGTCTCCTATTTTTTTTTTTTTTAATTAAACCTTTTTAAATTTACCAGGAAAGTGAACATCGTTTTTCACACTGCGTTGAGGAAGGATGGGGAGGGTTTAGCAGCTTGGAAAGCAGCCTCCTGAATTCCCCCAGAAGTGTTTTTCATTCCCTAAATAGTTTTTTTCGTTCCCTGAAATTGCAATTTTTTTTTTCCTATTCTTGAAATTGTAGCTTTTTTGTTCCCGAAATTGCCATTTTCTTCCAGGAGATGCATGTGAGAGCAGAGAGCTTAAAACCCCAGTGCTGCTCAGGGGACTAAATGACAGCCCAATTGCAGCAGAAATTGGGGGTCAAGAGGGAAAGGACCCCAATTTTGTGTTCAAAACCCCACCATGGGTATCACACTGAAACCACATCAAATTTGTGGAGGTGGAAGGGACCCACAAGGATCATTGAATCCAGCAATCAAAAATAAAAAATAGCAATCAAGGCCCTGTTTCTGAGGGGCTGCAGGAAGGCAATTGTGGAAGCAGGATGAGAATCCACAGCTTTTATATCCCGATATAGGGGAGAAAATCACTTTTCACACCTCAGCCTTCAGCACAAAACCATCCTGAGCTTCCAGTTCATTTCCAGGCACTCACTTTTGGGAGGGGATGATAACACAGAGAGGAGAGCAGGGCAAGGAGCCATCAATGAGCCCATTGAGTCCTGATGCAAAGCAAAACCAACGGGACACAAGGCTAATTAGCACTGCAGTTAATGATTATTTTCATGGCTCTCACAGAACCTCTGCCAGGCTCATTAACCTGGCCCCAGGCCTCTGGGACTTGGATGCTATTCTATTCTATTCTATTCTATTCTATTCTATTCTATTCTATTCTATTCTATTCTATTCTATTCTATTCTATTCTATTCT